AGCATGTCTTCTTAAGAAATTCGGAGGTAGATTTCGATTCGACCTGTTCGGGTGGCCGTCTTCAAAGGTCAATTTTCGTGGATGGTTGTCGCAAAAATGTTATTGGCATCTATGAAAGGGGCGTACCTCGAGCGATTCTCCTTCGTTCTAATATATAATGGTTTCTATTGTTTCTCGAGTCGTGAGTTTGCGACAGTTTCTTGTTTAATTCGTGGGACTCTTTCGTGTGATTATCCTATGGTCCAGATAGTCAGGTTCTCATTGACAGCGGCACGAAAGTACATGAGATGACTACAGTCGTACACAGCACAGACTTCGCACTAGCACCACCAAAAATTCGTCGATTTCGTGTGATCGTTATTACCTACACACCCTGCGGAACACCCGAAAATTGCAATCCACTGTATCAATAACCGTGAATTCTCAAGTAAGAAACATTGTCAGCACGAAAAATCGTCATCTCGCACGAACATCAAGTCCACCGCACGTTCGCCGTCCATCGTGAAAACGATCATCGATTCGAAGCGAGATTATCGCTGAACGATACATCAAAATGGCGTTCGAGATTTGACGCCATGTTCTTACCAATCGAGACGGTTTACGTTTGCGAGACTTTTGAACAATTGTGATTGGAATATTTGTTTTAAATTATAGAAGTGCAGCATGTGTACGCTTCTCCAAGAATTTGATCACCGGGATCTAATTTGTCATAGATAAAGAAGTTTTTGTTGATTCGGTGAGTGAACTGTCGTCGAATTTAAATATCCTGCGACCGACTGTGAACGAATCTTATTGGTCAAAACGAAATTTGGGAGATCACATGTTTTTTCGAGATTGTCGAATAAAAAGTCCTATATTAACAACTAGAATAACAATACTAAATAAAAAAATGCTCTTTTTATTCCAAATGCAGACGCATTGAGTACATTTAGTACACAGAAGTAAAGAATACTTATATACTTGTACATTAAGTAATTTGTCTTGTATAATATCTAGTATGCAAATTACTAATGGATTAAGTTCAAAAATTTATTTGAATAATTGCACATATATAAATTATAGTTTTATTAAAAATTGTGCTACTAAATATATCGCATTACCGTGTCGTGTGTACATAACGCCATCTACAAATGGTTCTGCTAACTATGCAGAGCAAAAACAGAATCCCACAATTTATCATTGCATTTGAATGGATAATACATGAAAGATACATAAAATTTGTTATAATAATAATAATAGTAATAATAATAATAATAACTGTATATTAATTAATTACAATATACATAACAATTAATAATGCATTGAAATATAAAACAATTTTTAAAAATATTAGTTTAACTGCCATAAGGTAAAGTCGTTCTTTTTAATTTTTTAAATATTCTAATAAATTTATCTTTCTATTATACATAATAGTAATGATATTAATTTTTCCGAATATGTATATCGTTAATAAAAATCATTAAATTGAAGGAATTAAAATTTCTACTCCACGTTTAATACATTATTTTAAAAAAACAATTTCCAAATACGAATTATTGATCAATGATAAAATAATTAGCACAAGTATGTTGTACACATAATATAGTATGTATTATAGAACGTATTTACAACGATATATTTACATTGTCATTACAAAAGTTGTGTTAATAGTACCACAGACTATATATTCATCGATTTAGTTAACCGCATACAACATTCACTCACCCATCAGCTAAAATAAACTATGCTTTGTTCCCATTCACACACCTAAAACGCTCGTTAAAACAACGCTGATATTATTCTCGAGTAGACGCATGGTCAGATTTCGCGTTGAAAATAATTTAAAACATTTAATCTCACGTATTGATTTAAGTGACTATGAATTCTCTCGCGCTTACTTATGACTTCGTAAAAAATATAAATCTATACAAAAA